TGCCCTCGTGGCGCTGCCCATGGAGGTGCTCCGTCATTGTTCTTTTTGTTCGGAGAAACTACCCCTTGTCGCGAAAGCATCCACCCTCTCGTCTCTTATCCATCCGCCCCACCACTCTCTCTCCCTCTCCCTCTTCCTCCCCCACCACTCATGGCGTTGTTGCCGGCGGTGAACCCAGGCGGCAGGCGGCCGTGGATCTGGGAACAAGGGTGGTGCGCCCTGCCGCAGCTGCCCCGCGTCGCGGCACGCATGGAGGTTCTCCACCCGTACCGGCCGCGCGAGTAGGAGCACCAGGGGCGGGCCCGGCCACGCATAGATGGGCACCTCGCATCGCGGCTGCCCTCGTGGCGCTGCCCATGGAGGTGCTCCGTCGGCCCGCAACGGCCCCGTAAGCAAGAGCATCAGGGGCCACCCCGGTCGTGGATCGATCGTCGTGGCTGCCTCCATTGCCTTGAGCGTGGACGGCGGCCCGCGTTGGAGGAGAGCCGGCGACTATGGAGGACGTCGAGCGGTGGTGGAAGTCGCTCCAGCTTCCGCACCGCGGCCTCCTATCCTGTCCTGTGCAGGCAGGTCGCAGGCAGGGCTGAGCCCCCTCAAGGAGATGCGCCGTTGACGAGAACCGCCACCACGCTGGCGAGAGGGGTCTCGCCCTCCACTGGATCTCGCTGCTGGGACGAGTCGCGGTAGAGGTGCTGCTCCTGGGGAGAGCGACGGCCTGCCTCCCATGAATTTGACAGAGAGGTAGGCGGAGGCGCCGTCCTTATCTACGGGAGGCAGGGGCGCCGCGATGGCTCCGGCCACGGTCCGGAGGTGAGAGCTTGCGCAACCTATGAATTCTGGGCATTTTCTTTGTCTTCAAGGCTGATTTTTTGCCCTGCTGATTGAGTTATTGGTTAATTAAGTACCAATATGCATTACAAGTTTCATTGATTTTGCTAGCCTCCTCACTGAAGTTGATGCACGGTTCTAAATTCTTATATACACACGCACGCACACACACACACACACACATACATACATACATACATATATATGATGCAAATGTGTGAGATTCTACATGGCAATTTTAGTGTGGAAGATGGTAATTTAGATAGTTGAAATTTCAGTATGCAATCAAGATAGTTCATTTTCACATGGACATTTTTTATGTTCATTTGTGTGCAAGCTGCGGAAGATGAACCCACTAGGATTTTTATGTGTCATGGGAACATGACAACTTCTAGTAGTCTAAACAGCAAATGTTGAACTCACTTTTTACATGGCAATTTTACTTGTGTTCACTATGTGTGCAAGCTGTGGAAGATGAATCCCTTTATAGTTTTTATGTATCATGGCAATTTAAGTTCACAATAGAGCAGCATTTTTCAGTCTTAGATTAGTGAGGGCATAGATCTTTGAAGATCAGCTCACATGCAGTGCCTAGACAAGCACACAAAACATCATGGTAGTTACATCATGGCAACTTTCTTACTTAGATGGCATTCTTTTCCTTTGGACGGGGTTGGCAAATATTGGAGGGGTGAGGTGGTAGTTTTAGTGTGGGCAACACGACATTTTTTGGACATGGCAACTTTTGTTCTGGTTCACAAGCAAATTCATGTTTACTTTAATGTCACCACTCACCACTACTACTTTTGCCATGCCACATTATTTTACAATGGTAAATTTGCTAAGGTTTTTGCCATTGCAAAAAAGTTTAGCACTGTTTTTGCAATGCTACTTTTTTTCATAGTTATTTGCCATGTCACTATTATACCTTTTGCCATGTCGACACTATAACTTTTTGCCATGCCATAAACACATTATATGGCAACTTTAGTTTGCTATTCAAAACGAGATGAATTTTTTTGTATTTTTTTCATCAAATTTTACTTTATGGCCATGACAATGTTTCCTTTGTTTTTGTTATGTCAATTCTACCTTTTGTTTACATGGCAAATTTAATTAAATCCCCATGGCAATATTTTAAATTTTATTTCCATGGCAAGTTTTTACTATTTATTTGTCATGGGAAATTCAACATTTAAATTTTATTACCATGGGAAGTTTTACTATTTATTTGCAATGGAAAATTAACCTTTATTAATATGGCAAATTTACCTAAATCCCCATGGCAATATTTAAATTTTATTTCCATGACAAGTTTTACCATTTGGTTGCCATGGCAAATTTAACTTTATTAACATAGAAATTTTACATAAATCCCCATGGCAATATTTAACTTTTATTGACATGGCAAGATTTATTATTTATTTCTCATGTTAAATTACCTTTATTAACATGGCAAATGTATCTAAATCATTAAGGCAATATATGTAAATTTAGTTAAAAATACCATGGATTTTTTTGTTATGAATCTGCCATGGTAAATTATTTTTATTGGTGTGATAGAAATTGTTATTTATTTATTTCATTTTTGGGTTATTGTTAAAAAAATATTTTTGCCCATGGAAAATTTATGCGTTTGAAAGTTAATGCATATTTTTAATTAACAAAGTAAAAAAGTGGGATTTTTTTATCACAGGAAAAAAAATCTGGAACCTTTTCTTCATTTTTTTGCTACTGGGCTTTTTATTTTCAATTCTGGGCTGTTAGTGGCTAGGGAGGCGTTCGCACTGGAGGACTTCTCCCCCAAACGAAATTGTTTGTGGGGGGCGAGGTATCGTACTGAACGACACGTTCGGTCTGGGATGTCCCCGGACCGAACGGTCGGAAGTTATCGAGGTCGTTATTTTTTGAATTTTAACGTTGGCCTTTGAAATGATAAAGTGCTGAACCACTGTGTTTCATGCTTTGAAGAGTTTCTAGATGTTTCACGTGCAAAAAGCTCTCAAACTAACTAGTAGAAACTTCAGTATGTTCGCCAAAATCTCTAGGAGAGTCAGAGTCACCACCGGTTCCAAGCATCGATCACCTGGAGAGAATTGAACGAGAAGAAGAGGATTGCCGTTTCATCCATCACAAGGAGCGGTTGATGAGACCACGCACGACGACCAAACCCAAGACGAGCAGGTGATCCGCCTCGGGCGCCACCGTCAGCGTCAGCACGTCCTCCCCCAGCTCCACCCCCGCCGCCGTCTGCTTCCGTACCACCTCCGCCACAACGGAGCCATCCACGCCGCGAACTCTGTACGCCGGCTTGCGCGCGCAGCTTCCGTCGACCCTGTAACACGTCCCCGCACCGCCGTTCATCGCGACGGCCGCCCCGCCCTTCTCAGCCCGCCGCACGGTGAACCATGGCGTCGCCTCCTCGCCGCCGTCCTGCGCGCACCGGCAGACCTCCCACCTCGTGAACGTCCCGAAGCCCTTGCGTCTGATCCTGATGAGTGCGTTCCCCTCACGGTCCATGAGGAGGGCCTCGCGGCCGCCCCTGCAGCCGTAGTTGTCGACGCGGAAGGCGACGACGCCGTCGGGGCCGTACACCGCGCAACCATTGCCGTTGAACAGCAGCGACTTCATCCACACCGTGTACGCCTGCCTGCCCTCCTGTTCACCGGAGAAAGAGGTGGAGCAGGGAGAAGAAGAAATGGGCTGGATTTTGGCCATTGTCGAGAAAGATTGCTTTGCTCTGCTGTTGCTGCGATGAAGTAGATGAGATGATTGGGATGGTTTAGCGTCAATGGCTGGTTCCACCTATTTATACATGCACCTTGTTCGTTATCACGTGGCCCGTCTGAATTAGTCTATCGGCGCTGTACACATCACGCGTTAGTATAGAATAGTTCTGCACCCGAGTTGTTTTGCACCGTACCAGTCAGCATTCAGTTAGCGCCACGTTTACATGGTTCATGTATGTGGACTTGGCATTTAGCATGACATGTCGTTTGTTTGGACTTGGTTTATAGTATGACATGGCAATCTAGGGCATAGTGGTTAATGAAATTTGCAAGTGCATCAGAGGGGAGAAAATGGAAGCAGCACACTTTACTTTGCAAATGTAGCCAGAAGAGCAAATTAATCTAAAGCAGCACAATGAGAACAAACTCTAACAGATGCTTCATATCGCTCGGATCGCCGTAATAACAACTCGTATGGTTTTTTTTAGAGAAAAGGCATCAGCCGAGCCCGAGATGGGGCTCGAGCCTAGCCCGGCTTTGAGTTAACAAAACTTTTTTGCGAAAAGAATTAACGAAGCCATCAACCGGCCAGGATTACAAGCACACGGCCTCAGGCAAAGAAAAGAAAATACACGGCGAAAGGTACAAGAAGAGACTAAGCCTCACACACTACGGCAACTAAGCCTCATATGGTGTTTGCAGCCCAAAAACTGGATCTTGCAGAATCGTCTTATTGGCCTTAGCGTCCATAGCATAATTTTATTGGCCCATCCAAATAGTGGGTCACAACCTTCATATTTAGATGCACTGATACAAAGCGAGCTGCAAACCCAATCGCTTCTGCAAGTTTCAGCATGTTCGTCCTCGTTCTTGGCCTCTCTTTCGAAACTGTACCGACGCCACAACTATGTTTCTCACTGGGAAACACACCCCATAATCCCCACCCGTTGCATGCCGGCTGCCCAGCTGCTCATTAATGGTGTCTGTTCTGGCCACCCACCGCTCGGGGCTACAAAAGGCCGGCCCCTCTCCTATACACTTCTCCATTCCATTCACTGGCGCCTCCCCCTCCACTACTCCCATCCCCTCAATGGTGCATCATAAGCGAGATAAAGCCAGCATTAAGCAAGCTTCCCTTTCCACTCATCAAGGAGGAGGGGGAGGTGTATGGCCTAAATGTCTACCGGGACGCTGTTGATAATGCCTTGGGCGTTAGTTGGAGGATGGATGCCGAGAGGGACCGAAGGATTTGGGACCGTGCGCCCGCCCTGGCACCTACGCCGACCATGGCTAATGGTTGGCGTGCAATGAGGCGAAACTGGCCCATTTATTCGCTATTGCAACCCAAAATGTCTTCCTGCGCACATTGTCGGCATGGGGTGAGGCCATCCTCGCTCGTTTCCACGATATTGAGGTGTTCAATGCCACATTCCGCGTCGGCACGTCCCAGGTCTGGAAGTCTCATTGTCGTCGCTGCCATCCTCGCTAGTTTAGTTGTAGGTTTATTAGTTCAATACTAGTAGCTTTATGAATCTAGTTCACGATGTGAATAATTTTCCGCCCCTACCTATGAATGAAATCGGCTATATGTTAAATTTCTGCTTGCTCTACGTGCGTGGGTGGAGAATGGGGGAAGAAATAGTTATAGTCTATGACAAATGGGTCCCACCCACATGGAAATTTTGGAGGCTCTATTTTAGCTGATTCTGAGTTTGCACCTTGACTTGGCAGCATCCAAACTTACGATGAAAAGTCCTCCATACATGTTCTGGAGGCCGCCAATATGACGATTATGCTAGAGTTACTCCTAATTTGCAAACTTGGATCCAATATGCAAGTCACAAGATGTAGCATGTGCGAGTTATTGGACCAATCACAACGTCAATGATGGGAACATCTTACTGATTATTTGTTCTATTTGGTGAGCATATAATATATTTATAAAGCAGGTATGTGTATGCACAACGACCCAACTATATAAGTACTCTTTGTTGCATTGCACCTGATTAAGCTGCTAGCTAAAAAAGGCTATCTAGGTTTAGCGAAAGGTCGATCTAATCCCCATAATTGTTTACACTGTCGTTTTCTCTGATGTCACTCCACAAAGGCCACGCCATGATTTTTCTTTTCTAAACAGATAGTTATCCACACATGGCTATTGACAAAGTACCAAAATATTAAGCTCCATTCATACGTTTCCATCATCTAGTACCTAGATTAGTTCACGCATGAGCTTGTTTCCTGCAATGTAGCGGCAGTTTGCGGTGATGACCTAATTTAAATGGATACAGATGCACTACATGGATAATGCGGAAGTGAGAACTCAGATATATCTATTTCAGCACAACTAATATGAGAGAAAGTGAGATATTTTAATGGGTCAAATGATTAGCCTATCTCCCAAATCAGAAGAGCAAGGAACACAAGATGGCCGGAGATGCAGTGTTAAACAAAGCAAGGGCATGCGTACCACGAAATCGGGAGCCTTATGCGGATTATAATTTAGCATAAACAAAATTGTTGGGACGGGTGTCGTGGTTCTAAGACTGACAGTAGAAAGGGGGGTAGGTATGGAGAGGCAAGATCTCAGCTATGGTAAAGGTGTATACACGGGATTTACGAGTTCAGGCCCTTCTCGGAGGAAGTAACAGCCCTACGTCTCGGTGCCCGGAGGCGGTCGACTGGATTATATGTGTGTCATGTTACAGGGGGTGCGAACTCTTGTCCCAGAGAAGGGGGGTGGCTTATATAGAGTGCGCCAGGACCTCAGTCGTCCTCCATTACAAGGAGCTTAATGTACATAAAGTAGGGGCGTTACTGGTAACACCAGACTTAAGTGGTATTTATGACCTTGAAGACTACGGAGTGAACGCCTAACCGTTGCAATGCTGAGTGACTCCTGACCTTTGGTAGGTCGAGTGACTCCTTGAGTGGTCGAGTGGCAATAGATAGGGGTCGCCCGAGTGATATGACTGTCGAGTGAATTGCACTCGACATCTTTGGCTGGGCGTCCCTTGTTGCCTCTTGGACTTCTTCTCTTCCAGGGTAGTGTCCTTGGCTAGGGCGTATAGGTCAGGCCTATGACCCTACCTTAGGTATGTATCCTCATCAATGGGAGACTTCTGAAATCATTTAGTGATGACAATTAATCATTTTGATAGAGATCACAAGATGCATGCATACGGAACTACTACTATACTGGATTACTTTATACGGGACAAATGGAATCTTCGGAAGTGAAGCTTGCTGACCGTATCAGTTGCACTTTTTCTACAAGATGTGATAATAATAGAAATGAAAGTGACACCTCAACGAATGGACCAGACTAATACGAGTCTACAACGGTAGTGACAACCATAGAGCACATGTTTATCATCAAAGACTCCGTGCTTGACGTATGGTTGAATGGGTAGGGAGGTGGTTGTACCCTCAACGCACGAGGTATCAAACTACGTGTGTCATGAAGGAAAATATGCATTCCGTATTAGGTGATATTTTCATTAACCATCCGCCTGTGGTGACTATATCAATCTTATGACCTGCCGGCTCAATCTCTTCGAGGTGCTCATAGGTGTACGTGTATTCATTCATAAGTATAAGTGTAGTATGTGTTCATTCATAAGTATAAGTGTAGTGTGTGTATGTTAGTGTCCGCTGATGTACCATGTTTCTAAAATAAGTGCTTGCAGGTAGGATATGAATGTCATGCAAATAAATTGTATTCTAACCGTTTCTGGTGAAGCATGATCAACCTTGGAACTTCATCGCTGATGAAAGTTTGAAACAAGTTAGCAAATTTAAAATAGAGATATTCCTTAGATAGCAGCCACCAGTGGAAATTCGAGGGAAAGTATGCTTAATCACATGAGGTCATGTTGGCTCATGAGTTAACTGGTCAGATAAGAATATATTTGACCAGGTTGAATGGAAACTGACATATAAGTGGGTAAAAAATATTAGAAATAATATAAATGTGACTTGTGCCCCTTTCAGAACGCAAAATGTGGATTCTCCCCACGTGTGTGCGACTTTTTCTCTTGCTAAAAGGCCAGAAGTTGTATATCAATCAGCACAAACCCTTACAGAAATTAAAAAAAAATACGAATCAAGATAGCAGATTTAAAAAAAGAGGTCATTCTAGCAGCCACCCTTGGAAATTCCAAGGAAAGCATGGTTTACCACACACACTTTTTCTTGAGTCAATTGGTCAAATAAGAATGTATTTGACCGGGTTGAAGCTGTCATATAAGTTGGTAACAAACATTAGAATGGATATATGATGTTTGTGCCTCCTTATATGTAAGTTGTTCTGGGAGGTGATTTAGGAATTGCGCGATCCTATTCTCCAATTCAAATTAAAGCATGAACAAAATCATTGATCTTGCTAATGATAAAGTTCAGGAAAATGTACTCGTTAAAAGAACATTTGTAGTTGCTTTAGATGAAAGGTGTCTGGCGCTTCTTGCTTTAAATCAATAACGCTCTAGAAGTGGATAGACCAACATAACATAGTCTTATAGAACAAACCCAAACTACAAAGATACATAAGTACCAAATACTAAAACAAGGCCTCGACAATGAGCACCAAACATAGGAATGGGTTCTAGATAAATGTTGCTAGTGATGATCATGGGATCTGACTTTGTCTGTTGATTCAGTGCACATTCCCATGGCCTTCATCTTCCCTAGCTAGGGACTCCCACAACTAAAGAAAATAGAGATTTTAATATAGTCAGGTGGATGATTTGGGATGCCCCCTCAATAGAAAATTTGTTGCGGCAATTAGACAACTTCATGGCTAGCATAAAATGCCATTCAAGCTACGCGTCCAAGATGACCTCTAAGATTCATAAGAATACCAATCACCTCATTCGAAGAGGTTGGGTCCCAAGTGCAACCAGAGAATTCACAAATACATCTCCAAATGATCCGGTCGGTGCATAGTTGAAAATAATGTGATTGGTGTTCTCAGGTTCCAAGCGTAACACA